GCAATGGAAGATATGGTCCCCTCGGACAGCAGACTCTAAACAGTGGTGGAACATCCTGTTAGCACATTGCAAAGCAGCCAGAAGCTATGAAATCAAACGTTAGTCCGCGGTCAGCTCAACCTTCAGCACACTCGTCCAAAGGCCAGTGCGAACTGGATTATACCTGTGAGAGGGTTGGGACTGCAGGAGGAGACAAGAGGGCTTCCTGTACAAGGTCTGTAGTGGGGGAAAGCTCTGCAAAATACATGCCAGAAAAAACTAGCGAAACAGACTGTGAAGAAGCTTGAACTCAACCAGCTACAAGTCTCCATTTGTTCCCCAAATAACCTTCTGGACATCCAAAACCCTACAGCCGTGTTTTAGTTCACACTCTGTAATTTTATGAATGTCCACTGGAGAATATGCATGGATTTAAAAGCCCGTGGCCAGCGAGCAGGGTCTTGAACGGAGACCGGGTGGGATGTGCAGTGTTCAGGGAATGGAATCACCTCCTGAGGCCCTGTTAGAGGATTCCTAATTAGAAAACTTCTTTTGCATTCTCTCATAGACTGCAAACAAAACCAACATTTGAGGAGGCTTCTCTGGCTACCGTGTGGGCTTATTTTCTGCCCAGTGCTGCTTGTGTAAGCCCAGTATGTTTGTTAAAAGTTTGTATGCAAGGCTGTGTATTTTTCCTTAGCTCCTGAGGTGGGCACAGGCATCAGAGCAACTTCTAGACCTTTGTTTACTGGAGGGGCCTACAGAAGTGGGTCCGCTCCACCTTGACTGAAGGCCAGGGTTTAAGCCTACTCTTGCTCTTCCAATTAGTGACAAGAGGTCTGACTCAAGGTGTGACTACAAACAAGATATCTTGGCCTAGGGTGTGGTTACTGGGTATTTTGGGTATTGAGATGGCCCACAGAGGTGGATCCCTTTCACCTTGACCATAGGTCAGAGAGTTCAAGACTATATGACTCTATATTGACTCTATGTGGTCACTGCATATCTGCCTAAACAACAATGCTTAGCTCAGGATATAGTTGCTTGATGTTTCAGGTATTAAAGCAGGTAATTGCTATTTGTTCTTTGTGTCATGTTAAAGTAGTCTTTTGCCTTCTCCCCTCCCCCCTTTTTGGGTTGACACAAGCTAGAATCATTTGAGAAAGGGGAACCTCAATTCAGAAAATATCTCCATAAAATGTGTCTTTAAGAAAGTCTTAGGTCTTTTTTTTTTTGATTAATAATTGGTGTGGGAGGGTCCATTCAACTGTGGGGAGTGCCACGCTCGGGCAGGTGGTTGGTACTGAGTGGTATAAAGAGAAGCAGAAGTAGTCATGGGAAGCAAGCCTGTAAGCGGTGTTCCTTCAGAGCCTCTGTTCCAATTCCTGCCTGCAGGCTCCTGCCTTGAGTTCCTGCCCTGACTTGCTACAGTGACGACCTGTAATGTGAAGTGGAACTTCCTCCTCCACAAGTTGCTTTCGGTTATGGTGTTCCATCCTGACAAAAGAAACTTTACGAAGACAAGAACTTTCTGGCGACTCCTGAAAAGGACGCAGGAACAGGTCTGGCCTGCAGATAAGCGTCTAATAATTCCCCTCCAGAAGCCAGGGCAGTGTCGTTCATCTCCTGATCTAACAACTCTCTAGGGTGACCTCAGGCACCCTGACCTGAGTCTGCCAGGGGACAAAGGGTGCCAAGGTTTGAACTAGGCAGTCTGCCTGAGGTCTGAGTGCCACTGGCCGTCCACTGCCAGGCGGGTACCTTGCAGGGTTGCTGTATTTCTGCTAAGATAGTGTAGAAACTAATGAATCCATAAGGCAGGGAGGGAGGTCCACTCATGTTCCTGGCAGCTTCTACCCTGCGCAATTGTCCGCTTCCAGACACCCTGCAGCCTCTGTCCCTCCAGGCAGAGTGCATCTCCGTCTCCACCACTTCTGATCTCTTAGCAACTGCTCCCTCCTAACAACTAAATCCGTTTCCCGCATGAATTCCCCGTTGATTTTCTACCACGGGAGGCAAACATGTATGAGATTGGAGGCTAGCAAAAGCTACTGGGGTCCTCTCTTACACAATTAGGCCTCATGTTAGGGTGCATGGCGTAGAAGACATGTTGGTGAGTGTCGTGAGACCCTCTGGGCCAAGAAATCACCATCTTGAGGAGTTTCAATGCTTCCCCTTGCAAAAGATCATTCCAGGTGGCATGGTTGACGGTTTCCACCCCAGGGAAGAGGCTGGGAACAGGGCACAAGATTCAGATTCTGCCCTGACTGTCTAGCTGCTTCCTACCACCTCAGGCTCTATGTGGCCTGAGATGGGACCTAAAATATATAGAGTTGGGGCGAGGGGGGGGAGGACTGGAACAGCAGAGAAGCCCGCATCCCTGTTGGGAAAGGCTTTTTAGGTGTGGTCACCTGCGGGAGGAGTGATCACATTCCTGTAAGGAACCCATCGCCTAGTCTCCTTAAGGATACCCAAAATCCATCGGTTACCCAGAGTGCACTGCGACAGAATCATGGTACGGTGTGTAGTTGGGAGCTTGGGAGGAAGGTTATCTCTGCTTTCCTTCTTCCCTAGGGAAAAAACAGTGACCAAAGGAAAAAGTTAAAATCCGTGATCAAGACTGGGCGTCCCACCCTCAACCTGGGTAGCATACACGGAAGGTCTTTTAATAAGGTGACGGATTCACTCTAAGGTACAAAAATGGCGTTGATATTTAAAGTACAGTCACCCCTCAGCATGCTGAGCATCCCAGACATCCTAAGACACTATATGCTATATACATAGATACTCTATGCCCACTATATAAAATTGCAGTGCCTTTGCCCAGGACCCACAAGTCTGGCTACATAAATTAGCTCTATATTGCTTACAAAGACTAATACAATATAAATGGTTCTGTATTTATTATTGTTCTAAATTTATTACAATGCAGTTTAACTTTATATATGTGTTCCCTTAAATTCCGAAATGACTTTTTTTCCTTTTCCTAATGAGTTAAATCGGCTAATTCCTTTTATGTCCTAATTGTTCTTTTTTGGTTGTTAAATTTTTATTTTTTGAGATTTAATTGCATCCGTTCCCCCTTCCCTTTCCTCTCTCCAGCCACTAACTACCATGTACTCCATCTCTCGAGTTATATGAATAATATATAAATTAAATAAATGAAATTATTTAAACAAATTTTAAAAACAAATTATATAATGATATAATCTGTCTAAATATATAAATACAGCCTGGTCAGCCTGTGTAATGTTGCATATATGTCTGTATGTGTGTGTGCTCATGCACTTGGATATGAATGCATGCATGTATGTATGCATATACAGAACTAACAATTTGGTATTGGGTAACTAATTTATGTGCTCTTCCCTGGGAAGACTGTTTCTCTGGCTCTCAGCATTCCTTGGTTGCCTGTAGTTGTATGGGTAAGGAAAGAAAAAAAAAAGTCACATTGTAAACAAGCCACAGCAGCAAAGAACCTGAACCAAGTGGCCAGAAGTACAAGAGACATCAGAGAAATGCTTGAGAGGAAGAAATAGCACAGTTACTAACGGTCCAGCTGGGGTTGGAAGTTAGAAATGAAGTAGAGAGAAGGCTGTGGGAGCCAAAGAAATTGAATTTAAATGTTGGGAAAGCCCAAAGGGGTCTGAGGATAGATTGGACGAGAATCAGCCACGTGGCCTAGAAGAAGATGGGAAGAACTGAGAAGCAGCTAAGAGTGTGACTTGAGCATTGATGGGGAAGAGGCACTGATGGGGGAGTAGAAGGGAGCAGGACGTAGCAAAAAGAGCAAGAACATCAAGGCTACTCTGGCACGCGGAGGGAAAAGAGATGGACCAACCAGGAGGTACTTTTCCCCGTGGGCTAATCCGGTACCAAGATTGCAGACAGGCAAATGTGTGGAATGCTGAGGGCAGAGTTTAAAATAAAAAATGTGGCGCATGCTATCTACCACTTCTTCAAAGACGCTCAAAGATAATCCCTGACTCCAGTGGACTCAGGCGCAGAACGGAGGTATTCCCGCATGCAGGGGCACCATTTCCGGAGGGACGGAGGTTGCCGCTTGAGGAATACATGTGCTAATTTCTGGAAAAGCCACATCCACCCTGAGAGAGTCAGCAGCAGAAAATAGAACTAGAAAGGTCTACATTGTGTTTCTAAGCAGTCTAAGCTCCTTAATCCTTTTTAAATTAGATGCTCTTCTGTATAGAGTCCTCGGTGGACACCTTCACGTCTCACGGTTAGACACAGACAGCTGAGACCCGAGGGAGTGTGGGGGCACAGCCAGGGCACCAGAAAACAAGCAGGCAGACCTCAGCCAAGGCCCAGGCTTTCTCTGGCTCCTCGCTATCTAATATTTCCGTCTGACATGGAGTGGGTGCACAGAAGATCCACATCTTAAAGCATTGCTGAACAGCTGGAGAAGAGGGGCGAGCATATCAATCAAGCTTTAACGAATGGATGGAAATAGCATGTGTGTTCTCACAATGGAAAATGACTGTTCTAGGCCATTAATATAAAACAGCTACTTGAAAGACATTTCTAGTCTTCTGCAAATCAAATCGCTGGACTACTAAGCACTAATTTTAAAACTCCAGAGAAAAAAAAATAGAAACGGACAAAATGCAGTTCAGTGTCAACTAAACTACTATGGCAAATAAATCGCAAAAGCTTCTGTTGCAGGATTCTTTATTTTTTAAATATACAAGATGTTATCTTAACAGTGGTGCGTGTCTTCCCAGAAAGAGACATATTCACGGGTATAATACAAACTGAATGGTGGCTATTTTAAAATGGGGGGGGGGGGTATGTAAAGGAAACCTGTGTTTATCCTTTGGAGAATTGACAGTGGAAAGGCACAGCAACCTGGGTGGGCTTGTGCCATCTCATATAGAACTGCAAGAAATGGTTTTGAAATATACACATTTTTCTAGGGAATCTTGGTGAGTTAACTTGTATTTCTCATGTTTGGTCTGCAGGGAAAGGACACTGTGGTTTCCCATCATCTCCTTGAACGGCATGGTTATGGATCGAGCTCGGTTCCCACGTGTGGTGTGGCAAGCCCCTTGTCTTCTGCAGAGGTCTTGTGGAGAAGTCTCCCTGCTGATGTTGGGGATGGTCGGGTTTCCCTTGGTCTTCAGACAATGGCTAGCTATTAATTCCATCCTACCACAACATGGGCGATCAGGAGATAGCACATCCCTATGGTGCAGGACACAAGCATCATCGGGAAGCCTAGCCTGGAAAACAGAGAGACAAGGCCTCTGGTGAGAACAAAGAGATGCAGACTCTCTATGTGCCACTCTATTGCAAAAGAATAGACCCCGAATCTTACTAAGAAAAAAATGATCTTCCATTCAGGTTGTAAATATTTTTGCTATAACTCATGTGGCTAGGTCCTAGAAACCTGACTCGGGTAGTGAGGGAATGAGCAGATGACAGACATACAGACACACATATGTAAAAGCCGTGATTAGGTGAGCCACCGACTCTGCTCCACCAGCAGTGGTCCAGAAACTCAGGGTATTGATTTTATACATATGAACATAGAAGGCAGGTTTACTGTCTGCAGCTGAATGTGGATACAGGTTTATTGCATGCAGCCGGACAAGGAGGAGGGTTCAGCTAATCTTGGTAGCAGTCTAAGAACTGATGCTGTCATATATTTACCCTATCCCTGCAGTTCCTCAAAATCTTCAAAGTTTGTATACTTGTCTCTCTAAATTTCGTGTCCTCTGCTTCACACCCATTGCACAGAGTCATGCTCCTTTCTTTATTTTCAGGTTTCTCACGGGCGTGTTCCCTCACCTGACCGATGTGAGTTCTGTGTCGCCAAGGGACACCGTTTGGGTGCCTCTTGCTATGATCTGCACAGTTGGAATTGCCCCAGCTGGGGCAATAGGGAATGAAGAAAGGATCACCATACCGAGACTGTTACAAATGAGGCGGGCCGGGGGCTGTGCCGGGCACACAGCAGCAGCTCTCTGGACTCTCTGTTTATCTTTTTTTTTTTATTTTTAAATTTACTTATTTATTCTTAAAAACAATCTTTTCTCATTTTACATACCAATCCCAGTTCCTACTCACTCCCCTCTTCCCACTCCCTCCATCTTCCCACCTACCCCACCCCCATCCACTCCTCAGAGAGGGTAAGGCTCTGTTTATCTTATACATCGAAATCAATGGGGCAGGCTTTGTATACAGCTGAACAAGGAGGCAGGATTACAGTGTGCAGCTGAACAAGGAGGTAGGTTTACCCAAGCTCAGGTGTAGGTCTTTATAAGGGAGCGGTCTCAGGCTGTAAGCAACCCAGAGAAGCAAGCTGAGATCTATATTTTCTATACACATTGTCAACACCCACACATGACTGGCGAAAGGTTTTGCCACTTCCCTGGGCCTGATCCGGAGCAGGCTTTGCCGTGTCCATGAGTCTGGGGCACTGGGCTGGTTGTTTCAATCATCCATGTTTGCTCCAGATTCTTGTACTTGGTACAGATTTTACACAGTGCCACTGTTTGGCTCTTTGGCACTTGTCTGGGATGTGTGAGGATCTGGGCTTAATTCTCACTGTCCTTTTCTCTCCAAAATAATCTCCGGATGCCTTCTTCAGCTGTGTCCAGTTGGAATCATCCTTCTACAGACCTCCAAAGGAAGTCATAAGCCTATCAACAAAGTCTCTCTCACTTAGGGGGAGTTGAAAGGAAGGATCGTGAGTTAAGACCATCTCTTGTCTAAAGAAGTAACAGACAACATGACTTCCATCTGTGTTTCGATGGCATATGTGTGGGATTTGAGTAGGGATGCGACTGACTAGGAAGGTCATCATGAGGAACTCATGACTTCACATTGGTAAATCCTTAGAATAGGAGGTGATTGCGCAGTGAGCCCTCAACCAATGCCAGTCACTGCCCATGCCTCGTCTGATCAATACCACGTGACAGGGTTAGAGCGTGCACACAGCCAGAGGAAGCCTGCATGGTGTTTTAATCTCCTTTCTGTTGCTGTGATGAACACCATGGCCAAAGACAACTCAGGGAGAAATGAAGTTATTTCATCTCACAAATTACCCTTCATCACCCAGGGAAGACGAAGCAGGAATTCAAGTCAGAGTTCAACAAAAGAAACCAAAAATGGAGGAACACTGTTTACTTGCTTGCTCCCCGTAACTTTTTCAGTTACCTTTTTATACAGCTCGGGCCTCCTTGTCCAAGGATGTCCCTCCAGCAGAGGTCTGAATCCTCCTCCATTGATTAGGGTCCAAGAAAATGTCCCATAGACATGCTCATAAGACAGTCTGATAAAAGTAATTCTTTAATCGAGGTTCCTTTTCCCCAGGTGTCCCTAGTTTGTGTCAAACCGACTAGGAAAAGCCCTATCTTGTCAACTTGATACACAAACACATCGCTGTTAAACCATAACCTTTGCTTTCTTGTTTGTCCCTAAGATCTAAGGATATCATTAATAGCACAATTTAAAGCACAATCCAGCTTTTAAAAGTTCCACAATTGATAAAACTGTCAATACTTTGAAAGTTTAAGATCTCTTTCAAATACCAAGTGTCATAACTATGGATTCCTGTTCAAATGAAAAACAAGTTACATACATTCTTACTCTAAAAGGAAAGAATATGGATATAAAAATAACTGTACTTAATAAAACACAATCTCAACAGTGTAAATCCCAACTCTGCAGCTCAGTGTCTGACATCTGGAACCCACGCGTGATCTTCAGGGCTCTAAAGGGCTTGATCAGCCCCTCTCCAGCTCTGCCTTCCACAGCCACAAACAGCCAGACTGTACTCCACATCGGCCACTGTCCTTAGTACTTGTCCCATGCCCTGCAAACTCTCAGGGAGTCCACTGTACCTGAGCTGTACCGTCACTAATGGTCTCCCCATCCTCCCTGTAGAGACTTCAGCCATGTCATAGGGTACCAAGCCTCAGTTGCCCTCCATAACCCCTTCATGGCTTCAAACCCAGTGTAGTTAGGCAGCTCTTATACATTATTTGCCAACTTCGGCTGCCAGCTGGATCTGTTGCCTTGGTCCCCTTTGCACCACAGCTGACCCTGAGGCAACACTTCCTAGCCTAGAAGATTCCACCTCAGTGATGCCAGTCACTCAAGAAGCACAGCTGATTTCTCAGGCCCAGCTGACCTCATCCTTTGCCCCAGTAAAGTTCACTTCCAAATTAAATTTTTAATTATTTCTTTACTTTGATTTTTTTTTATGTGCATGGGTGTTTTACCTGCATGTCTGTCTGTACAGCACATGCATGTAAGTTCAAGAAGGCCAGACAAGAGCATAGAAGCTCCCGGAATTAGAGTTCCAGAGACTGTTGTTAGCTGTCACGTGGGTTCTGTGAACCAAAGAGCAGCAAGGGCTCCTACCAATCAGCCATGTCACCAGCTCCTGCCACAGCTCTGCTTCCCTGGAAAACTTCACCAGCCAGGCTTCTGTTGTCTGCATCTTTCTCTATGTTCCTATTGTCTAAGCTCCCACAGAACAGCTCCCTGAGTTCTGAGTGCTCGGGGAACTTTCCAGCCCAGTGTTCCAATGTTTTCAGCATCTTCCCCAAACAACAGTCTGGTCTTCTGCACAATGCTCCACTCAGTTTCTGTTCCTCTTCTCTTTCTCTATGTCTCTGCTCTGTACTGTGACAATCACCATGCCCTAGCCAACTTTAAAATGACAGAGTTTATTTTATCTCCCAGGTTATAATCCATAGTGCAGACGTGCAGCAGGAACTCAAGAAAGGTGAGCGAAGCAGAAGCCATGGAGGAAACCTGCCTGTTGCTTTGTTTGCCTGTGGTTTTCTCAACTGTCTTTTAAGATACAGCTTAGGACTACTGGCCTAGGAAAGGTATATCCCCCCATTGAGCTAGGTCCTTTTACTTCATTTATCAATGAAGAAAAAGCCCCCCCCCGATATGCCCACAGGCCAACCTAATGGAGACAATTCTTCAATTAAAGTTCACTTTCCCCAGGTATCTCTAGTTCATGTCGCATTGGCAATAAAATCTAACCAGTATAGACAGGAACATGAAATGTTTTTGACAAGGGAAAACCCAACTACACAGCACACAGGGGTCTGTTGGAAAAGAGAATGTAATTGTGTGATTCTCCAAAACTATAGGACAGACTTCTGGTTCTGAAGCAAGATGAAGAAGATATATTTCTTCCTATTGCCTGTTCCATTCTGAGCACAGCCAAGACTCTTGGGAATTATAAAAAAACAACGGAAGATCCTAAGGGGGAAAAGAAGCAGAATGGCAGCGTAGCTGAGAATCCTAAAAAAAACAAAACGTGGCATGGCAGTGAGCTGCCCTCCCCCATCTTCCATGAATCCCTCTAGAAAGTTGATACAAGGGAAACTCAATAGACAGTAGATTCCCAAAAGAAAAGGGCCCCAAGAAAAGCCTGCTCTAACCAAAGGAGCAGGAAAGGGGAAGTCAAGGTAGGCAGTGGTAGCTGTACATGGTAATTGGGGAAGTTTTATTATGACCTTTAGTCTGCCTCTTTGGTCACAGAGAGAGCCAGGACTTCCACCTTTCCGGGCTGTGCTGAATTCTCTTCCTGTGGAGTCAGGAGAGAGCTATAGAGAGCCTGTGAGCCTGGACTTTTCCCCCTGCTTCGAAGCAAAGAGATCTGTGGCTCCCCAGCTGGGTGGCTTGAAAGGGAAAATAGGAGACACGACGCAAATAAGCCCCTAGCAGGCAATTACACACATACTCGAAACAAATGGGGCAGGGGAAATAGCTTCCAAGGAACAACAGCACGTAAAAGGTGGACCTGGTAAGTTCAGAACTTAAGATGGAAAGACAAAGTCAGGCCAACTGATGGGCGCCATAACTTAAGAGAACATGTGAAGGAAAGATCCACAAACCTAGACAAGAGAAAGTCACCCACCAGAGGAAAAAACAGACTGGAGAGCGAAGTACAGATCCTTGGGACCCCACATTACAAAGCTCCAGCTTGTGTCGCCAGAAGGAGAATGAGGGAAGACGTGCACACACATACACACACAAACACACACACAACACACACACACACACATACACAACACACACACAGGCACACACACACATGTATTCAAAGGAATAACAGCTGAAATTCACACCCTCCCCTCACCAAAAGAATGCATTCTAAAGCTGCAGTTTTCGACCTGTGGGTCAAGACCCCATTGGGAATCAAATGACCATTTCCAGGAGTCACCTAAGACCATCAGAAAACACAGATATT